GATAAAAAAAAAAAAGGAAAGGAAAATGAGCGAAGCGAAAGAGAGATTCTTTGCAAACGGGATACTCGTGCGCAGTCTTGCTCGTAGAATCGTAACGCTGAAGAACGACTCTCGAAAATGATCGAATTTCGATTGCAATTTCGACTCGATGAAGCGGTAATTCGATACCAATAATGGTCACGTATCAAGAGTTCTCTGCTAATCGACACCGAACCAGTTATTTTCCACGTTACGCGCGAATATATTATAACGCGTTGGAGGGGTACATCTGGCCGTAATTTATGAAACCCCTCCGGTTAATTGCACATTAACGAAGGTGTAATTTGCACGTTCGAAACCCTTCTTTCCCGATCGAGCGAGTAATAGACACTCGCTTTGAGAATGGGCGGCCCGCGTAAAACGGCCGAGAGCACTTATCCCACGAATTTACGAATAGTATTTGCCCGATTAACGGGGCAAAAAAGTGAACGAAGGCGTTAAGCAGGGTGTAAAAGGACAACGGTAACGATAATGAAATAACGAACAGAGAAGAGATTAAAGGTTTTCGGTGCTTAAAGGTCGGGGAAAAGTATCGAGTTAACTTCTTGAAGAGAGGAACGAGGGCCGGAAACTTAGCATAGGATCGCATTAGCACGTTAAATGGTTATATTAAGAACTTTATACAATGGTTCGTTCGGTCTATTCGAGGGGGTGGATTCGGTGTTGCTCTCCATGAATTTTATCGTGATCCGATGTCTTTCCAGAGGATTTATAAACGATCGATAAAGTACACACGATATGCCTGGGGACGAATAAAGACGCGAACTTTTAAGGGTGAACTCGGGCGTATCCATTAACGCCGGAACGATTGCGATCAATTCGAGTCGGAACCGATTAATTATACACGTCTCTCAAGTTTCCACGAGTATCCTTCCCTTTATAGTACTTATACACTATATATATATATATATCTGTCAATCGGAAAATTTAAATTCGCGTTCCGATAATGAATAATAAATGTAATTTCATTGAACTTTAACTTTCAGTCTGCCCGTTCTTACGATATAAGAACGGACAAAATTAAGCGGACGAGGTAAAAAAAGACCTTTGACTGATTATCCCGGGATTATTATCGATTGATAAAGAAGCGTCGTACCTTCTGCGACGCTCCATAAACGAATTACTCGAGTCGGCGCGCTCGTAATTCGGTCGGAATCTGTTAAAACCAAAGTAGAATCCATCCCCATCGGACGATGGTCGCGTTAAAGTTTTTACGACTGATCCAAGTCGGAACGGGGATATTATTGGCGCGATGGCAAAGTGAAATTGCAGAATGGTTCGCGCTTGATTCGGGATTGGAAGATCTGTAAAAGCGATGATCGTAGGCATCTCGAAAGTGAATTCGACCGTACGCGGTGGTGGTAGTACGCGCGACAGTCCCTGTATTACTTTGACCCCGGCAAAGCGACGATTACGAGCGCTGTGTAGCACGGAATGGATTCGCCGCCGTGGGCGAAACGACGAAACAGTTCCATCGAGCGAAACGCAAACACTCGAGAGGGGGCCTATGCGGTGGAGAGTGAAACAAACGTGGCGAGGAAACCGAGAAGCATATCGTATACACGTCTATACTCACCGGCAGTTCGCACCAGCACGTTAAGTAGAATGGATAGCAAAAGGGTGGTGGCCCGGTATCCGTGTATTATGATCATCAGCCACCTCGATACGCTGAATCCCGCGCCGTGCCATAGACCCGTGGCCTCGTGCACCATATTTCTCTGCCTCGCCCTTTTTCACCCGGCTCGCCACCGATTGCCTCGTCCCCAGCCCACATTCACCGCGTCGTTCCTCCGTTCCAGCCTCCGTTAACCCGTCTCCAACCTTCCACGTTTTATCAGAGATTGGAAATCCCGTTCCCCGGGCGAAGCAAGGGACGTTGCGCGAACAAACTCGTCGCTACTCTCCAGGTTCGTCGTTCGAAGGAAATTCGATTCTCCCGCGAGTCGAGTCGAGTCGAATCGAGTCGATACCTTGGAACTGAATAAGAGAGGGAACCTTTTATCGCGTTCCACCGTGTTGCAATTGTTTACCGGGGTCGCCTCCCTTTCCAAGGATTGATTAGCGCAACCGGGGAAAAGAGGAAAGTTTCTGTTGCCCTGGAAACCTAGGGGCAGAACTGGCCTCCGTCCTGGGGCTGAAACATCTCTCCTTGCGGCTAGGAGTAAGTTGGCTAGATCAATTCCTCGGTCTCTCAAAGATACCGCGCGAATTCACGGATTACCGGAGTTTCTACGTGGGTCGTGAATCGCGTTCCAAAGTATCGGAGTGCAACGATGGTCGTTAGGGTCGTTAAACTGTCGTTAATTCATAAAATTATCGGTGAACCGTTCCTTCCTCGATGGCCAAGGGAGGTTTCTCGCAAAAGGGCTTCTTTCTCTTCGTTAGAAACGAGGCGGAAGTTAATTTTGTTCGCCTCCCGTTATCGGGATCCATGAACTGCACGAGCCAACCGAATGTCAAGGAAAAAAGGCAAGTTTGGCAAGTTACTCCTCGATCGTCGTTCCGCGTTCCGGTTTCTATTCTTCCACGATTATAGATTACGACCTCTTGGAAATTATTTCGAGGCAAGTTCCTTTTCGTACGGATTCTCTTCGATCTAGGAACAAAGTGAAAGGTATACGCGTCGAAACGGTCGTCGAACTTGAACCGTATCAAGGCGAATATTGTCGGAGTTGGCGCAAAACGATATCCTTTGGCAATAAGGTTAATAGAGTACCTTCGGGCAAAAGGGCTTCTCCTCTCCTCGCTTACCGGTTTCTCATTCGGTTTCATTCACAAACCTTCTTGTTGGGAAGCTTACCGAGTTCTGTACGTTATCAGAAATACAGGATGCTCTAGGCCATAGAACCAAGCGTTCTTCCGCGGCTCTTTCTTCCTCGAGTGGCTTTCAGGATTCCGTCGCTACTGTTCCACAGCCAACGGGCTACTTCTGTGAAGAAATCTCTGCCTTCCTTTTTATCCAACAATACAGAGACACTGTTGAGCAGGATGGAAGAGGGAGAGAGAGAGAGAGAAAGAAAGACATATATACAAAAAGAGAGAGAGAGAAAGAGTAACGTTCACGCTTCTTCTTCCTAATTTCTACTCCCTGCTATTTCGCTACAAGATTTTTCTTTCCTTTTCTTCCTTTCCAGTTGGATGTTAATACGATCGCGATGCTTTTAGCGAACATCCATCGTGCCACGGCCGATGGTTTAATTTCTAACGTTAATATTACCATAGCCTTGAAAGCTTCCACGTCGATTGCCCTCTTCTCTTGCTTCGCCGTCCGTATAGATCCTCTTATAGCATAACGTGTATCACCGGTCTACTTGGCTGCATCAACATCGATAAAACGGTAATCGGAATTACCATCGTCTTTAAAACGATGGCCAACTGTCACGACTGTCTTTCTTCTGCTTCGAATCCTCCTCCCTCCCTCGGTTTTAATTGGAGAACTACAGGAAATTGTGGAGAAGGGTGAAAGAGAAGGGTACAAGGGTACACAACGGGGCTGCAAAATACACGGGCGATTCGCAGAGGACGAGTGGAAATTTCGCTTGATATTACGACCGGGGCCGAATGGACGTGAAGCACGACGATCATTAGGTGACACGACTAATATTCCGCTTTAAGCGGACCCTTGTCACGCCTATTTTCCCTGCTTCCTCATTTACAGATGTCTCGACTGTTCCAACGCGACGTCACTTGTCGCGCGCGTTAACAGAGCCCTCTCCCCCCCGCGACGTTTCCACCTTCTTCTCGAGACCCTTTTCAACGCTGCATTTTCGTCGCTCGACTGCCCCTCAACCGGGGACACGGAGGCGACACACCCTCCGCTCGACAGACCGTCGTCGTTTCGGCCGTCGTTTCACACACGCGTTGCGTTCCGTTCCGTTCTCGTCTCGAGGAAGCAAGCACCAAAAGATTTGCCAAAGAATTTCGCGGCCTCCCGGGTTTGTGGATATTGTGCAAGTTTGTGGAATGTTGCGGCTACCAGACGACTGTGTCTTTAGCCGGCCGAGTTAACCGGTTCTGGTGGCGGTGGTTGCTGCCTTTAGGCCACCCTTTCCCTTCTCCTGCTCAACTTCCTATCCAGCAACGTCCACCTGCGTACATAAACGCGAACGACGACAACGTGTAGCGTGTCTTCGTGCAAGATCGTCGTGGTTAACCAGCTCCTTTGAGGAATTTCAGCTGTCCCGCGATTGGTATCCGTGCAAGGCCTAAACCGTTTCAGGGATTACGGCTGATTCGATTCCTTAAGCGTCGGCTGCTGCCTCTGCCGATCATCCTCCTGAAATTCGAGCGGAATGAATGTAGTAATTGATGTGACGGAAACGCGAAATTGGAATTCGTGAAATCTTAATGGTAAACGATCCTTTTTATTTTTCGTTCGTATCTTTGAAGATCGAAATCTCTTTCGAGTAAAATGAAATGGATCGAGCGAAAAACCAAGTAGTACTTCAATTTAGAAGTCATTCCTTTTTTGCTCTTTTTTTCTCTCTCTCTCTCCGAGCGATTCCCTTGAAATGACCGAGCGATTTTCGCGAATTTAATCTCTTTCAACAACATCCGATAATTAAATCGAACCGATTAATTAATCTCAAACGCATCCATCGTTGCACTTATATTTACAATTTCGATCATTTTGGAATAATAAATTTATTTAGGGAGCAACAATATCTCGCTAGAGTATAAAAAGCCCATCCTTTCGTAGAGATAGAGTTTCGTTTCTAACAAAACGGGACGCGACAGCAAATGAGAATTACGAGGGACGAGAGAAACGAGGAGAAAGAAGAGAGAGAGAGAGGATCGTTTTGAAACGAAAGAAGACTCTTCGCGACACGAGTGGACGGCGCATCGAAAATTTTCACTCGGAACGGCGTGGCAAGATCAAAGATGAAAAAGCACAGACGGAGGGCGACATTTATTAAAAGACCGATTACTTATTAGAGTGATCCTCGAGGAACGAACGAATCGTTGACGCGCCGGCCGCTTCGCGATACATTCCGTGAAAAGCGAATTTTCCCTTGGCCACGAGAGCACTTATTCCTCTTCTATCTTTTACTCACTGTGCCGAGCGTTAAGCTCACGGAAGATGGCGCGAAATTTAACGAGCGACTAAGGTCGCGAGCAATTCGGAGCAATAAAAAAGACGAGGAGGAACGGGGCTGTGGCAACGAACGGGATATGAACGATGATGCGGCCTTCCACGCCGGTGGAAGAGGCGGCAACCATCAACGATAAGCCTGGAATACGTGCGAGATGGTGCGCGAGACAGAAGTGAAATTGTGGTAAATCTTCCGACGTAAATGCATACTTTAAGATAAACTAATAATAAATCAACGACTCGGAAATGATGCGGGATTAAGTTTTGAAAAGTTTTCTGTGCGAGATTGAGAAGAAAGAGAAAAGAAAGAAAAAAGGAAAAAATAGTCGACGATATATTATCTTGTACTTTCTTTTTTTTTTTTTTTATGCCACGAAAGATACAACGTGGCGAATCATGATTATATATTCAGGATGAAGCGGTGGCACGCGTATGTACGCGCAATGTCTTTCAGCTTTAGAGTACATACTATCTTAGTCTACTTTAAGGTCTGCGGGTGTAACGATTATGGTTACTGCCACAGGGCTATTATCTCACTCGTGAGAATATTCTAAAGTCGTACATATTTTACGCTCCAATGAAATACAGCTCTATTAACCATCAAATATTTTCCAAATCGTTTAATGCAGATTAACCCAAACATGGGCCAACGATTCTTCTCTCGATTTCTCTCAATCTGTACAAGGGAAAAAGTTTCGTTGAAAATCGCCGATTCCGTTTTAAGTGACCCTGGGTTTCGGTCACTTTTACAACGTGCTTTCGTTTTAATAAAAGAAATCCATCCTCGAGGGAAACGGGGAGGGGAACCGTTTCCTGAATCTTTCACCGAACCGTTTAAAAGTTGGAGGTAAGTGAAAAGATTTGATATTTTAAACTGCCATCTTCGCGGGGAATTTTGCATAAACTCAACGATGAATCGTTTTGAATAATAAGTACGCTAGAAAATATGAACCGTCCTTAATAAGTCCGTAGCTTTTGACTGGCAGTGAATAACTAACAACGTATATCTCAACGTTATCCTTCGTCCCTCGATACAAACATTTTCTCTATCTTTCCCAGAGAGTTCCTTTTCAATGAATCCCGAGATCCGTGGATTCACCAAATTTATAATGAACATCCTTCAATTTTTCCCCTGTTTTAAAAAGTTACACACGAAATTTACATTGCACAGAGCCGTACCTCCACTTCCAACTGTGGAGGAAACTCGATCCATTTAATCGTACGATCATCAACGAGGTACGATTTCCGGAATTCATCTTCATCGAAAGAGAAAAGTCACAGAGTTCACGAACGCCGCGTATCTTCTCGGGAAATATGGAGGATCAAGGATTTAGGATCAGGGAGAAGGGAGGATAAAGAGCGGTCGACTTTATGAATACTAATTGGTATCCGGAAGGACATTTGTCGGGTGGAATTTATCGGGTTTATCGGATGTGAACCCTCCCCCCCATCATATCTCGACGAAGTTCATTGAATAGGTACATCCCCGATGGATCGGCCGTCACAGAGAGACAGGGATAACGAAAAACTTAATACCGAAAGAAGAAGAGCGCATTACGTAAAGAAGGCTTGGAAAGAGCCGACCGTTGAATAATGTAGATTCCCCTCTCCCTCCACCCCTGGGCTGCATCCACCTCTCTCACTTTCGCATAAACACGTATCGCTCGTACGTGAACAGGATGGAACGATTCTGCCAGGATTTGGCATCCGTACTTGGTAATTAAGTTCGCCTCGGTGTGTACCACCCTCTCTCTTTCTCTCTCTCTCTCTCTCTGTCCGTCGATGGTACACGAAATTGCACCATTGCCGTGCCGATTAAAGTGCCGATAATCCTGAGCATCGATTTAACCTATGGCTCGGTATCAATTATCGGGTCAATCGTCGTCGGATGCCACGTCCTATTTGGCCACTTGACTGACCCGAAGACATTTAAATGAAAATCGTTGCCCTTTATTCCGCCGGGACAACGGTATCGTGGCAAACGGCACGGCGACGCAATACGTTTCACCCCGTTCCCCTTTGTCCGCATCCATCCGTGTATCCATCTGTGTACGTTCATTTTACAACGGAACGGAATGGAACGGAACGGAACGGAACGAAACGGAACGAAAACGAAAACGAATCAACGAATCAACGACGAATACGCGCGTGGAAGAATGGTTAATTGAAAATCTGTATCATCCTGTTTGGTATTCATTCATATCGGGTATACGGGTATTATCGATTCGTATTACATATGTGCATAATTTTGCACGCAAGCACGCTTCGTACGGTCAAATATTTTTTTCTCTCTCTCTCTCTTTCTCACCTCGATACCCGAGAGGAACGATTGAAACTTTTCTGGATTGGATTTCCGACCGAGCAGAAGTTCGTTTTTCCGAAGAGAGAGTTCCGTCAAGTGTGATTAACATTCTCACGATTGTAAGAGGAAAAGTCATGCTTTTGTTTCTCGCTATGACCGGGATGAAGCTTTGAAAAACAGTTGTAAAGAGCTCGCAGCACCCCCGGAGAATATTATACGATGACGTTAAGCGTCGGTTTGTATCGCGCGGTTATTAAATGGGGAGGAAAGTTTAGAATGGAAGCAACGTTTTGTCTCCCAGGAAAGAAATACTTTTCGTCGAGTAGCGGAGAAGGAAGAAGAAAGAGGAGAGGAAGAGGCGGAGGAAGAGGAGGTGGAGAAGCGCGAGAAAAAGGGAAAAGAGAGATATAAAGGCGGCATGATACGGTCGGGATGATGGTCACTACCGATCAAGATTTTTCCGAAAAGCCTTTCCTCGCGGCGTGGAAATATTTTACGCGTTTGATATTGCGCAGAGAAAAAAATAACGCTTTGTTAAAACGATTAAAGCGTTAAACATTTCCCCATCCCTCTCTCCCGTGTTGATCATTTAATAATTCCTCTCTTTTTTTTCATATATATATATATTTTTTTTTCCGTAGATAAAAAATAATATAACGAAAGCGTTATTAAAAAAGTAAAGCGGTGCAACAACCGCGTATTTCAACGTTGGCAGCGAGAAAGTATATGAAATTCGTTACGTACGAATCGCAAAGGTAAATTATTGCAAATTGTTGATATATTTTCAATTCTCCGTGGAGCACCGGCCGAAAATTTATACCGGTATACAATAAAACATGCTAATGGACCAATATTTATTCGTCCCGGACGTGGTATTATCGCGATGACGGTACATCGATTACAATTATTTCCCGCTTAATTTAGTTGTTCTGAAACGATCCGGAAAATTTAGAACGACATCCATGTTTGTCATTCCCCGATACGATATCAGGTTATATCATCTATGCAAGCTTCTTCCACGAGCGGATGTTTGCCCATGTCTCCACGAGAACAATCACGGGGATCTCCCCGTGAAATTAGTCCGAACGTGAATCAATTGGAAATGGGATCGAAATGGGGAAGGCGGCGATTCCTACGAATGAAATTCGTAGAGGGCAGATTATTGGAACGTACGACCCGTTCAGGGTGAAAATATATTTTCTACCAGTCGTCCATCACCTATTGACAGTGTTATTGATCATAGCGTAGAAGCGTGGAATCGAAGAAAGCAATCAACGGGGACGTTCGAGCTGTCCCACTGACAAAGCGTACACGAGTCCGCGTCAATGACAAACGCGGAGCATGGTGTTAACAGCAATGAAATCCATCGTCAATGGACCTTTTTAAAGTTAAACGACATAACGCGTAAATCAACCGTACTACCGCGTTCCCAAGAATAATATTTGTCGATTCGTGATGGAGGGGGAGGGGGAGGAGAAAGAGAAAATGGAAAGAAGACGAGAATTAACGAGGATGATAGAAGAAATGGGGAGGGGCAAGGGAAAAATTTCCTTGTTGTTTCACCGGGAATTAATTTTTCCGATCCGGTTTAAAATTCCGTTTCCTAATCCTAATTTCACACCAAGTTTTCCAAGTGGCTCATTAGCCATAATCACGTTTCGAGCACTCTATTGGCCGATCTATTTAATTACCCGTTTACAAACTAGCGGTCTTCTTTTTTTTCTTTTTCTTTTTTTTTTTTTTTTTTTTTTTTCTTCGAAATGCGAAATTCGAATCACGAAGTAGTTTTAGCGGATTATTTTAACGACCACAAAGTCTCGTTTCACGGTGAAACGATTCGTTTTGAGATCGAATGAATTTCACCGGTCACACTATCGCGTGTAGCGCGAAATCAACGCTAGTTTAATCCAGCTAGCATCGAAGCCGATGGCATAGTCTTGCGTTATTTTATTATTGAATTATCGGACGAAACACGGATGAAACACGATGGGCCAATTAAAGTAATCGTTTGAGCAGCGATAGGATGCCATGCCGATAAAATTAATATGCCGAGTGAAACTTCCGATAACCCGACGATTTATCCGGTTGTAATCACCGCAATTATCGCCGTTTAATTACCCTCTCGGATGACAAGTTTCTTCTTTGTCGGTTCTAGACGAAATAAGGCTCTGCCTTTTCACGGCGCCAAGAGTGGCTAACGAAGGAATAAGAAAGTTCAACCGAGTTTCCATTATCGTGCACGAAAAAACAGAATTAATGAGTCCCCCCTCCCCTTCTTTTTTTTTTTCTTCCCTACTCTACTCTTCGCTACTCCTAACTCTTTTCTCGCTTCTTGCAACTTCAAACTTCCCCCCCCCCTCCTCCCTTTTCTCTTCCAATCCTTGAACGAAGCGAAACACGTCACCGGTTTTTAGTTGTATCCTGTCGACGATAGAAATATAGCGTAACTGTTTCCTTGCATGAATACACCGTTTCCTTTCCCCGGTTTTCTAAGCTCCGCTTGACAACGAGGCAAACCAGCAATCCCGCACCCTCTGCCAAACAATTCCGCCAAGTTTCCATTTATTCAATAATTTCGTTTCATCTATTCTACGTCATTTACAGACCATTTACACTCTCCGATTACATAATCACGATTATTAAATCACTCGATTACTCGATGGATAAGTCAACAGACGCACAGGTGCTCGATGAAAATTTATCAATTCAAGTTAAAATTTAGTTTCGTCGAGTAGTTTCCAGGTCGAAGAATTAAAGCGAATCTAGCACGGTATTGCGCGCACTCTCTGTACGTATGCGATGTAACATGGTTACTTTGAAACATTAAACAAAATTTCGAGAATTACACGCATCTTTCACGAACAACGCGTATAGAGGCAGTGAAAAAAAAGAAAGAGAGAAAGAGATGCATGCACGTACAATTACACGCATATATACGTACAAACACTGCGAATAACGTGGTGTATGGAAAGATTCCGTCAGTTCTTTTGACCCGCTTTTACGAAAAAAAACGTCTGACACTCGAAAAGAATTCAAGTAGATACGGACGTTGTTACACAGACAGACACTTGTACTATACACGTCGAAGAAAAAGAGGAGGTGGAGGAGGAGGAGGAGGAGGTACAGGCCGCAGAAAAAACGTGTGTATTGAATGAATACTCAACGAGTTCCCAAGCCGTAAAAAAACCTGAACCGCCGCTAAAGGGAAAAAGGGGAGAGAAAATATATTCAATGAATCACGAGATTATCCGAGTTATACATTTTTTCCAAGTTTCCCGACCGCTATTGACTCCTTTTTTTCCTTTCTCGGCAATCGCACTTTGTACAGCTTTAAACGGACCGGCGACTGTATCGCGAATACACCCCCCAAGGATCGAAATCGACCAACGAAAATCAACCAATGAATCGAGAGGGAGCGTGAGGCGAAAGGGGATTGGAAAGCGGGGGTGAAAACGACAAATTGAAAATACCGATGACTTACGTGTCGCGAAGACATTTCGTGGCGTCGATAGATTACGAGATCGTCGAGTTTGACAGGAGACAGGCACGATGTTGACATCCCGCCGATAAGTTGTCGGCGCGCTTAACGACCCTAGAAGTTACGTCGTCGTCCTAAACGTATCATTTTCCAGCTACTTGTTTCCCAGTCCAAGTTCACAGAGTGCACTCCGATAGAGCGGCAAGTTTAATGACGTTTCGAAAGATCATTAAACTGGGCCGCACGCTAATTAACCTAAGGGAGAATAAATACGGGCGACGACGCGACGAGAGGAGAGGAGACGCGTAACGAGACTGTTCGAAACGATGTGAAAGTAAGAGGCGAGAGAAGACGAGCCATAGGCGCGAACAAAAGCGTCTCTAATGGAACGAGCTCGACGTGAATCGTGGAACGTGGCATGTACGTACGTGGTTTTTTCCCACTTCGCATCCGGATGGTCAACGAATGGACCAAAGCGAACCGATCGACACGGTAAACGGGACGCGAAACGGCGAAACGAACGATGATAAAACGAGACGAAACGATGTCGTTTACAGCGCGGCAAAACTCGAGCAACGCGTGAAAAAATCGCGTAATAACGAGACGCGGGAGACGCGTGGATTCGACCTCGAACTCGTCGTGGATTGCACTGGCCGGTTCAGCCCTTTACCGACTCGTAGGGGTGGCGACGAAAGCGTGCAAGGAGAAGGGATAACAGGATGGAGAGAAGGAGGGAAGGGGAAGAGTGAGAAGCAAGAGGGGGTTGGCGATAGTAAGAGAGAAGAGGGATGGTGGGAGGATGAGGACGGAAAAGGGGAAGAGGATGGATATATAGGCGGCAGCATCCACAGTGCTGAAAACCACCGTGGTACATTTCGCGGGGCTCCCATGAGAGAGGAAACAAGAGAAAAAGAGAGGGATGAGGGAAAGAAGGCGCGAGAGCTGGTGGCCTCTATGAAATTAAAACAAAAAACGTGGGGAAACACATCGTGTCGCTCCGGAACGGACCGCTACACACGCCGTCACTCCTCTCGTCTTTTCTCCTTCCCGCTTACATTCGCATTTATCCTCTCTCCTCTCTTTTTCTCTGCCACTGGTCTTACAGAACCGTACACTTCTCTCCGTCCGTCCATGCACGCAAACTTGTTCTTTTTCCCGCTGGGTGGAGTTATTTTTTTTTTTTCTTTCTTTTTGTCGTTTATTACGCGTCGGCGTACACGTTCAGCGGTGGAAATTACGCGACGACTCGAGGTAGGCTCCTAGGATACTTTTCCGAGTGGAGACGAGCATCGTTAGCATCGTGCACCGCATTTAGAAACTTCTCGGAACGCGCTAGTGAAACGCGCCATTTTTTAAAAATGGATTTTAAAAAAGGATTGGATCCCTCGTGTTTTAACGATCGGTCTGATCCTGTCAGACAATCGCGATTTATCCAAGCTTGCCCAAAATTTATCCGTTTCTTTCTTCTCTGTACGACCTGCCTGTTCTTTCTTCCCTTTTTTCTTTTCTTTCTTCTGTGACACGAAGCCGCGGGGATAATACATCCGCCACGATAAGTAACGTGGATCTCTATAGTAATAAGTTTCCGTGTATCGCGAGCAAAGCTGAGTACACTGTCCAAAAGTGGATCGTCCCATATTTGTATCTGCGGACGTGTTTCATCTTTTCTATTCGCCTCTGTTTCTTCTTTTCCATAGAATTTCATCTCGTACACGCGTTTGATACGTTCTTTGTCGGCGGGAACGCGCTAGCGTATCATTTAATTAAACCCTTTCAGTCTTCTCGCCTCTCGATGAAAAACAAACCCACTGAAAAAGAAAGGAAAAAAAAAATAAAGAAGGGAAAAAAGGGAACGGAACGGCGCGTACGGCGGCATAGAGACGCCTATGCAATTACCTCGACAGAGCGCTTTAAATTTTCTCCAAATTACTGGGCCGTGTTTCACGTCGTACGCGCATCCAAACTCTCCCCTCGATTTCCCTTCCCTCTTCGCCCTTATTTTTCCCTTAGGCTCAACCTGCTATTTCCCTATCTTTTTCCCGGCCTCCTGCTTTTCTCTTCCTCTTTCGACTATCCCTTTCCAGCCGCCTTTGAAATAAAAGTCGATCGAGTGAGCAAGCAGCCGAGCACTACCGTTCATCGCTCGTAGATTTATCGCCGCTTCGTTCTCTTTCAGTGGTTCAACGGTGAATCGTCTCTTTTCTCGAGGAGAAACGACGGCCAAACGACGACCTGTGTAGAAATCGAAAAGATATCGTAAAAGAGAAGGTAAAAGGAAAACATCGGGAAGGGAAAGTCGAAACATGACGATCGCGCAACGCGTTCTAAACCGTGAAAAGGGATGGAAAAGGATATTGGAGAAGTTGTGTGCGAGCACACTCGTCGAAGGAAGGTCGTGATTAATGATAAAGCTACCGATTCGAATTTCGTGGTAATAGGGTAGCTTGGATATTTTAAGGATAACCCAAGAGACACGCTCCTGGATATCTTATCTGACGCAGGCGCCCGCGCGCCGCCCCACCCAGCAGAATTGCAGGAATCGTCACCAACACCATCGTGATACTGCGATGGTATTGAAGGAACACGAAGAGGATCCTTTGTGTGCACAACGCGATGCACGTGGCTACGGTTACCGGATGAATTTTATTAAACTTGGGTGAAGTGTAAAACTGCATACATAGCCGCATTAATTCGACGATAATTTACTAAATTATACACTGTGTGCTTTATTATATGTCATTTCACAGCCGAGAAAAATTTCTCGCTGAAAAACTGGCCTGCAAAATTTACCAACCGATCGATCAACTCTTTGCAAACGATTGTCGCACAAATTTCCTCTTTTTATCTCCCACGCAAAATTATTCCAATATTAAAAAACATCTATTCAAAATCTCGATAACGCATCTTTTATTCACATAACGCACGAATTGTTTTTTTAATAATCTATGGTACGAGAAGAAAAGGAATATTACCCGAATTTATCTTAACTTGAAATTCTTATTATAACTTTCTTTCTGTCGTGAAACAAACGGAAAAAATTTCAAAGTTCAAAGCGACTCAATATTTGTCAAATTATCACGAGACAATGATGAAGTATAAAATACTGAAACAGTGTGCAAAATGTCAAGACTATAAGAAGACAAAAAAGAAATGTCCTAAAATAGTCACCTTTTTAAAAAGCTGCTGCTTATGCGAATTTTCTGCTTGAACTGATGTTCAGCTGGGATACTGTGTAATGTCTTGTTCCCTTTTCTCGAGTTTATAGCTATTGTTCTTTCCTTCTTCTTGTTAGTTATTTAATCGAATCACCTAACTCCAGTTCCCTTTTGTCAAATGTTTGACTGTCGTCAACCAGAGCAAACGTAGCTCGATTAACAAAAATCCAAAGATGTATGTATCTGAAACCAAAAATCTATTGAATGACTTTTACTTATTCTCGAAAATAATTGATAAGATAAATAAAAATCAAATGAAAAAATATTATATACTGAAGTTAATATTAATTATATTATTAAAAAAAATCATCAATGTCTCTATATATAATATTCTCAAGAATATGTGAAAAATTTATACGTATAAATTTATTAAATTAGCATTGCATTTATGTAGTTTTAGTATTAACATTAGTATCCATAGTAGTATCCATAACTTTGAAAATAATTCAATAATAATTGAAGAGAATAAATTATAAGTGTATGTATACATCAAGGGAAGTATAACGTAACATTTAAAAGTTTTAATCATCAGTCCGTTTCAAAACTGGAATGGAAATGAGATGTTTGAATTATTTTCCACAAATATCAAGTACTATTTTCCTAGTAACATATATT